TAAAAGGGTGGAACTATCTCAGTACCAGATAGATATTCTGAAGGTATGGAAGAGGAGCTGAAGGAGTAGGATTGCACCCAGTTGAGTCGCAAAGAACCCAGTAACCCACTGAAAGAAGTAAGAGGCAATAGGATTGAGCTGTGGCAGAAATACTGAGGTGATCTATCAGTCAAACAAAGCATCTTAGAGCTAATGCTCCTTGGCCTAATGCAGCCATTGTACCCACTTACCCAGGGACTGAGGGAAATACTGAGAAAAGGTCTGCTGTTTATCCAACTTCCTCTCCAACTCTTTTTTTTTCTGCTGTCCAAATATTCCTAGTTACTGGAATTTTGTCAGAACCCACAAAGAGGCCAGGGATTAGTCACAGATAAATATGAATTATGTCAGAGAACTTAACCTTTGTATAAATGTTAAGAATTTTCCTAACTAGGGGCTCAGAGAGAGATTGTGATCATATGCCTAATTTTTTATCTAAAAGTAAACTCCCTAAAGCCATAGAGGGAACCACGCAGCTCTCCAAGGTTGCCCTTAGATTTAAAAACAAATAATTAATAAAGATGATAGGCTGTTACACAGGAAACACATGGAAGTATGAATACTGAGCCTGACTACTTATCTTTTAAGAAATGCTAAAAAGCTGCTTAGAAATTCTCTCTTCCTCTTTAGTTCCTCACTCCCTCCTTCTCTCTTGGTTGGACGCCAACTGGTGTCCAGGTAGATGGACTTCTTGACTATGTTTAACCTTTGTCCTTTTATTTTTTTTTTCGTTTCTGCCTTCTCAATACAGACTAAAATTGTTAACTTTTTATTTTTGTGACCTGTAGGTACTTACACCTTGACCTAAAGCCTTCTTAAAACCTTTAATGCTTATTGCTTCTAACCTGACAACCATAACCAACTTCCTGAACTGAAGAAAGTCTCCATAATTTCATAGCTTCAAATTACCCTATCCTTCACTGACAACTATCCATTTTTACCAGCTTTCCCCACCTATTAATCCGTTCTACTGATCAGCTTTGCCCACCAGTTTGTTCAATTAACCTTGTCTTATTTGCCTTGGCTTTTTAACTACTGTCTACTTGACCATTCTTGATCCATCTCCTTCTTCAAATTTCTTTCCCAGAATCCAGAATTAGAAATGGGACTTGGAAACAGGTCTCCTTCAAACATTCCTCTCCCAATGTCAATTTCAGGCCCTCACCACATATCTAAATCTGTTCCAATCATCTACAAAATTTTCTTTTCCTTAATCAATCAACCAACTAAGCATTTAAGTGCCTTTTATGCAAAAGCACTAGGGATACAAAGACAATCCTTGCTCTCAAAGACCTTACGCTCTCTCAGGGAAGACAATATATGCAAATATAAGTGTGTATAGAATAAATATATACAAAATAAATACTAAAAAAAAAATATAGTTAAATATTAGGTAAGTGGTAAGGGAGGGTACCAACAATTGATTTAGGATCTGGAAAGGTGTAGAAAATGATGCTTTTAGTTGTATTTTGAAGGAAGTTAAGGGTTCTATGAGGTAGAAATGAAGAGACAGTGCATTCTAGGCACTGGGCAATGGCCAGGGCAAAGATTCAGAAATGGAAGAAGGAGTTTTGTGTGTGAAGAACAGAGAGAAGTACAGTCTGGCCATACTTTAGTGCAGGGGTAGGGAACCTGTGGCCTCCAGGACACATGTGGCCCTCTAGGTCCTCTGACTGAATTTGACTGAATTCAAGGGGCTTCATTTGAGATGTCCCCCATAGTCACCCACCCTTGCTCTCATGTATAGGAAGGGGAGTAATGTATAATGAGACTGAAAAGATAGGCTAGCATTAAGTTGTGAGGGACTTTGAAACAAAAGTGTGTATTTTACTGCAGAGGATAACAGGTAAGTCATAAAGTGACAAAGCTGAACGCCATCATGGCAACTGTGTGGAAGGTAGATTGTAATGAGGAGGGACTTGAGTTAGGCAGAACCAGTAAAGAAGCTGTTGCAATAGTCCAGTCAAGAGATGAGGAGGCAGAGCTAAGGTGGGGGCTATGTGAGAAAAAAAAAAGGTTTGGGTGTGAAAGATATTGTGGAGGTAGAAATGGAAAAGTCTGGCAACTGATTAGATATATGGAATGTGAGAGAATGAAGAACAATAATGCTGAGGTTATCAACCTAGAAAAGTAGGAAAAAAATGGAGAAAGTATTTATATAGTACCTCCTATGTGCCAGAAATTGCATTAAGTGCTTTACAAATATCTCATTTGATCCTCACAATAACTCTGGGAGGTAGGTGATGTTATTATCCCCATTTTACAGGTAAAGAAACTGAAGCAAATAGAGGTTAAGTGATTTGCCCGGGGTTACATAATAAGCAAGAGGGCTTGATTTGAACTCAGGTCTCCCTGACTCCAAGCCAGTGAGTGCTCTAGCCACTGTGCCATCTAGCTGCCTCAACTGAAACAAGGAAGTTTCTTATTTATTTACCTGCTCCTTCTTGTACAGAAGTTGAAAGTATCACGTATCTGACCACATAATAAGCAAGAATGGAAAATATTCACTGTGTGAAAGTGTCATGGAGTATGGAAACTTGGAAAACTACAGTCTTTTTATTATCCATTTTTTAAAAATTATTTTTATTATCCATATGCCTAAATTATTATTTCCTGGAACAAGTACTATGCATTGCCAAGGTATCTGTGGTATGTCATGAATAAGTTAGGCTTCCTCATTCCTCTTGATCAATTTCTTACCAGGAAGGTGGTCATGAAAAGAAGGTAAATTCCAATTGTGTGTGTGTGCATAATAAATAAATATATGTATGCGTGTACATATCACACTCTGCATATTTAATGTTAATGAGGCAAGGAGAAGGTAAACAAACACATATTTGGATGGGCAAATGGCTTACCTGGTTGATAAAGAAGCAAGTAGAATGCTGAACTTGGAGGCAAGAAGAGTTCACATTCAGCCTTTAATGTTTACTGTGTGCCCATGGACTGAACCTCTCTGAGCCTCAGTTTCCTCATCTGTATAATGGTCATAACAAGGCCTGGCTTACCTTCACAAAGTTGGTGTGAAAGCAAAATGAGACAATTTGTAGGGAACACTGCAGAAGTTGAGGTGTTACAGATCGTTGGTCAGTCATATCTGACTTTTCATGACCCCATAGACCATGTTGTCCATGGGGTTTTCTTGGCAAAGATACTGGAGTGGTTTGCCATTTCCTTTTCCCAGTGGAGTAAGACAAACAGAGGTTAAATGATTTGCCCAGGGTCTAATAAGTGTCTAAGGCTGGATTTGAACTCAGGTTTTCCTGACACCAGGCCCAGCACCCTATCCATTGAGCCATCTAGCTGCCTCAAGATGCTACATAAAGGTCAGTTATTATCATTATTGATGAAATGTGGGTAAGGGAAGACACTGTCCCTTTTTTACTTCCTCATGTCATTCAGGGTGTGTTGCTAAGACAAATTCATAAATATGTCATATACCGAACAAGACTGGGGAAGAAGAGTACCTAAAATGGCATATGCTTACCACCATCTTTTTTGACAATGAAGAAATCTAGGTGTTTTCCCCTGTAAGTTCTTTACTCTAAATACAATCTTAACTCCAGACTCCCAGGAGAAAAATAAAGCACTTCAGGGCTTTTGGTTTCAGGGTTTTTATCTTCAAAACAAAACAAAAATGCAGTAGGATCAGATTTCTTTCTGTTTCTGTGGGGCCTTTTGTAATATACTCTGGGTGCCAGGCTGTCATTATCATTGCTTTAAATTTTCTCCCAGTAACCCATGCTCCATATTAAGGGAAAGATCACAGATTTAGAGCTAGCTAGGACCTCAAAGGTCATCAAGTCTAATCCCTCATTTTACAAGGATTTGCCCAAGGTTCACTCAGGTCATATGATAGAGATGGGATTCCAATTCTCTAGGACAGGCATTCTTCAGCTTTTTTGTGTCATGGACCTCTTTGGCAGTCTGGTAGAGCCTAGGCACTCCTCAGAATAATGTTTTTAAATGCATAAAATAAAATACATAGGATTACAAAGGAAGTGAATTATATCAAAATACAATGATCGTGTGTGTGTGTGTGTGTGTGTGTGTGTGTGTGTGTGTGTGTGTGTGTGTAATATACTCATGTACTGCAAGTTAAATAAAAACCCCAGCTCTAGTGATTGATAAGCCTAATAAGTACATGGACCTGGTCGCTTCTTTCTCATCTATTCCTGCAATCCACCTTAGGACCAAATAGGGTGAGGAAAAGAAAGTGAAATATTTAGCAGCCCATTTTTCTGTTAGATTTACTGAAATGGCATCCAATATTAGAATCTATGCAATTATCCATGACATTTATCCTGATGACCTAGAATAATGAGGAAATAATTGTGTTTCTTCTTTTAAATACCAGATTCTCTCCATATACTTTATTTAAATTCAGAATGGAGGGAAGAATACTGGGAGAGTGGTATGAAGCATAGACCATGTTCCCCTCTATGACCAAGACAGCACTTAACTAATATCCTCATGGACCCAAAGGAAAAGAACAGAAACTAAAGCTGGTGTTGCCCCCTTGTAGGAAAGATTCAGAATTTCAACATCCAGATACCTTGAGTCCAGATTATTTCAGGAGATCTGGCTGTAGTGGCCAGTGACCCAGTGTTTCATTTTCTCCATCTAGAAAATGGAGATATGAATTTCACCCAGAAATTCTGTAGATGGAGATAGGTCTGCAAAGTTTCCTGATACTCTTTCACCAAAAGGCGTGACCCAAATGAAAGGTATTATTAGTGGCTCATAGCTCTTTCTGATCCCATTGTGGAAATCTGACTGCCTTTTTACATACAGAGGGTGTTGGCATAGTCAGTTTGCTTAGTAGACAAACTTTGCTTCAGTTCAATGACTCTTGTCTAAACAGGATCTTCTCCCCCAGGCAACCACAAAGGGTGGTGGAGTCTCCTAGCGACTGCCCTGATTTGAGCTAAACCAATAGTGAGGTAGAATGCTCTATCTTCATAAGTGCCAGCACTTCAGGCAAGGACTAGAAAACCAGACAGTCAGGTTGCTGCTCCAGTTCTCCATTCATTCCAAAGAACTCAGAAAGTGAGAACAGTCTGTGGCCAGAGGCTGGTCAAGTCATTAGAGCTTGAGCAAACACAGAAGTCAACTCACTGACCACTTGCTCCATCATAGGATGGCCGACCAGTTTTCAGAGGAGCAGATCGCTGAATTCAAAGAGGCTTTCAGCCTTTTTGACAAGGATTCTGATGGCTGCATCACCACTAAGGAACTGGGCACTGTCATGAGGTCACTAGGCCAGAACCCCACGGAGGCTGAGCTGAAGAGCATGATTGGAGAGATTGATACTGATGGTAATGGTACCATTGATTTTCCTGAGTTCTTGAGCATGATGGCAAGGAAGATGAAGGACACGGACAGTGAGGAGGAGATCCGGGAGGCTTTCCGGGTATTTGACAAAGATGGCAACGGCTTCGTCAGTGCAGCTGAGCTAAGGCATGTGATGACCAAACTGGGGGAAAAGCTCACAGATGATGAAGTCGATGAGATGATCCGGGAAGCTGATGTTGATGGCGATGGCCAGGTGAACTATGAGGAATTTGTCCGCATGCTTATCTCTAAGTAGGGAGGATGGGGAGGACAGAACTCCAGTCCTGACTCAAATAGCTTTCTTTAGCTTCATATTGTGCTCTTAACTTTCTGATGGGGGGATGTTTTATCTTGATGTTTCAAAAATTTTGTACATCACAACAATTCCTCCTACAATCCTCCTCACTGGATCTTCTGCTCACGAGCTTACATTCTGCAACTACTTTTTTCTCTATCAAATTGTTAGAATGTCGCATACTTTTTTTTCCCATCATGCTCACCTGTCTGCTCAAAATAAAACAGGGATACCCAACGTGCAGCAATCAGCAAAAAGTCAACTATCCTTTACAATGACTCAAACACACAGGAGTTGAAATGAAGATAGTGTCATTCTTTGAAGACAAGATATTGAGGTCCAAAAAGTCCTTAAAAACTCTGTGGCCCATTGAGCAATGTTAAGAACCTATTCCATTCTGGATATGATCTTTGGTGCTAAATCATCATACAAGATACAGCAGATAACATCAGCCCATATCTGAATTCCTATATCCTCTCTACAGCCCATGAGAACAGTATGCTCCTTTGCTTGAAGACCACCTGCTGCTACAAATGGGAGTATTAATATTCAGGAGGTTGGGAGAAACATGGTGCTGGAAAAGAAGGTGAAGGTGGGGACTATGGGTAATTGTGTGCAGGCCTCCTCTCCAGCTGTAATTGCTTCTCCCACCTGTCTGCCTGGAAAAACATCATTGACTCACTGGTGAGGGAGAGGGGGAGAATCCTGGGGATAGTTGTGATGATGTGTCTGTATTATTCTTGATGGAGGAGGGACATTTAAATGAAAGGGATTTGGGGAAAGCTGAAGGAAATAAATGAGAAGTTCATTTTCCTATTTGATTTTATCATTCTGGATTTCCTTAAAGTGAGAGCTATTAGGACCTTAAGGCTTCAGACCTCAGCTTTATTATTCCTTGTATTGCTAAATATGAGGAGAAGGGATGAAGTAAGTGTGTTTTTGGTTGGAACAGAAGTGGTCTGAGATGTTTTGTAAACCATAAAGCATTATATAAATGTAAGCTAATATCATTTTCATCAACTTTGGAGGTAGGAAGACTAGTTTTATGTCCTGTCTCTTATACATACAGTTGCATGATCGTAGGTAAATCACTCAGTGCCTCCAGACAACTCTGTAAGACTGGTGGAGGGAGTTTCCATACCAATAGTTTCTCACACAGATGAAATTTCAGTTTCCCTGCCAGCTGTCCCCCACCTCCCAATTCTTCACCAAAAAATTAGAAAGCAAATCACATCTTAAAATATGTTATTCCTAGAGAGCCAACGAGTAGAATGGGAACCAACCATTTAAAATGTTTCTCTCTTACTCACTACCCCACCTTCTCTTTATAATATTATCTTAGAGATAAGATGAAAATGAATGGATTAGAGAGCAATAAAATGAATGCATTCCTGCATGTGGGTTTGGCCCTAAGCCCTTGAGATCACTTCATTCACAAGCCCAGAAACTCATTAATCATACTGTTTAATTATTTAATTAAAGCTAAAAGAAATCTTAAAGCTCAATGGGTCCAACACCATTTTTGGATGGAGAAACCGAGGCCTGGAGTTGGGAAATGGATGCCCAAGTCTCCTCACAAGGTAATGGCAGAGCTGGAACGTGAAGAAGGAAAATCAAGTATACTACAAGGGAATTAGTGAAGTGTAATGGATATAGCAGAGGCCTGAAAATCAGGGTATCTGGGCTCCAGGCCTAGCTCTGGGTTAGTTTGGGGATATTGCTTAGCCTCTCCAAGGGCCAGTTCCATCATCTGTAAAAATTAGTGGAGGGGAAGGAAGGAGGGGTGAGAGGGGCTAAGGAGCTCCTCATTTTCTAATAGTCAGTGTTTAAACCTAATAACAGGACAACAAAAAAAGAAGGTAGGGGACAGATTCCTCCCATGACGCCCTCAGGGAAATTTCTTATTTTCAATTCTTCAACAACTCTGAAAGGGAAGCATTAAATGAAAAGTGAATCAATTAGCCTTTTCCAGGTAGAAGAACTTGGAAATACTCCTAACTAGAACATAGTGTTGAAAGGAAAATTCTTCATTAGGGTTTTCACCCTGATTAATGAGGCAAAACACAGAACAAAGAGAACTAAAAGAATTTTATTATAAGTATGTCAAGGCAGCAACAGATCAGGCTGTTGATCTGAAGATCAGCTATGGCTTCAAGGTGGGGACAGCTTTTATGGATAACTTTTGGACGATCCAGATAGGTCTACCTCAGCAAAAGAGGTTGGGCCCTTGAATCTCTGTTTGTTCCCTGGTTAGCAAGAATGTGACAGTTTACAGGTAGGGTTACATGACAAAGAGCCAGTGATACAAAAAGCTCTTACTTTTTTTACAAAGGATTTGGAGTGTCCTTTCCCACCAGAGCCTCCCCTAACACAGGTTGATAAACAGGGCTAGGAACAATGGGTAACTGAGTCAACATAACTTGTAGCAGCATCCAAACTATCTGTCTGTTCCTCTTCCCCCTCACCCCTTCCACTTCCCCTTGTAATAATCTGCATTGTCAGAGAGTATTTTTTCATAGGTACGGGGTACAAATACCAGTGCCATAATATTGTTGCATGTGGGGACATATATGGATTGTAAGATCACACCAATAACTTCAAAGATTTAGAAATGACTCGTAGCCCAGCCTAGAGATCAGAAGACTAACTATCACCAGGGGTAATGGTTAACCAGGGGTAACAGGTAACAAATGCATAACTCAGTGTTTCAAGTGACATTTTCCAAATGGTTTACACTGGAGGAAATGTAGGGAGGAAAACAGAGGGACTATGTCTTGTGAGATGTGGATTCTAAGGTCTCCTTCTACATGCTGTGAATCATAGCCAGCCACACATTCATTTGGTGTGGGCTCCCAGAGGTAGGGGAAACAATCTCTCTTTTTCTAGGAGTGGGCCCTAGAGAAGCTCTCATTAGCCCAAGACTGACTAAATACCTAAGGTGAGAAAGGGGGATTTTTCTCTGTGTACGTATGTTCAGTTTTCCACCCGACCCTCAAAGAATATAAAAAGGAACATGATAAAACCAAACAAAGAAAGCAAAAAACTCCATACACATAGACCCAATTAGTCCCACCTATCTCTGCATTTTAAGCAGCTTTCTAATTCCGTACCAATGATTTGCTCACCAGGGCTGGCACCATACTGTTGATTTTAGGAGCCCCCTCCCTCCTTTTTCCCTTTGGCCCTGTCAACTTTTGAGACCCAGAAGATATAATAACTTAGCCCCTAGGCCTCTTTGCAGGTGGCACTGGATAAAGAAGTTGACATACATTTTATATTGTCTTCATTCCCCAAGACGAGTGTTTACTTGAACTGCCCCATGGCAAGGCTGTGATACCAATGGGGCATTTTGGGACATTCTCCATTACTAAGAGGCCAAGACCACCCTCCTTCCACCTCCTCAGTTGCAGGATGACAAGGAAGACACTAAGCAGTACTGTAGTTATCAAGTTCCTGCTACTATTCAGAAACAACAGTGAGCACTGCTAAATCAGTAATGTTTGCTACTTCTCCAATATTTGCAGAGTAACAACCTAGGACAAGTGGCATCTTCACTCTATTGCAGGGGTGACTGACTATTGAATTGTTAGAAGAAACATGATACCGTTTCAATGTCCTCTGTAACTGACTAGCTAAATTGTCAGCATCAGAGCAGCCAACAACAAAATACCAACCAATTAAAATCATTTTTTTAGTGTTGTGAAGCTGAATGACAGCTCAATCAACCAGTGACATTTGTAGAGCTCATGATTATCTTTAGGCCCTGTTAGTGGCAAATTGCAAACTTTCTGCAGGAAGCTATGCCTCTAGGATCCTGTTTCTCCTATCCCAGTCCAGGATTGGGCCTAGAAGCAAGACCTGAGGCACAGGCAGCTGGTAAGTCAGTCTTTCATGGTGTTAGGTTAGGTCTAGAAGGAAGTAATATTTTGGGACTAAGGCCAAGTAAGGTGGGAACAGCACAACAATTTGTAAAAAGAGTTTGCAAAAGGAGATCAAAGCTAGGATTTCAGCAGAGTTGGCAGTGGACCAGAAACAAAAAGGTGTGCTCATATAGGTATCAAAGAAGTTAGCCCCAAAGAATCCTCAGGGAAGCAATGAGAATTGAATCCAAGCAAGGGCCTGAAAAACTGGCAAGAGGTGGGTCAAAGCGGTTTGTCTGTACTTGTTCAAAGAGCATGACACAATTTGCCACTTTCGGTGAGCTGGTAGCATTTTCATGTAAAAGTGTTTGCCAGTATCCATCTAAAATAGGTCCCTGCTGGAGGACGCCCCAGATCACTTTCATGGCCTTCTGGATGTAAGCTGCTGTGTTAAGGGCAAGTCATACCACAACTTTATACCTCAACATAATTTTCATATAGTGTTCCTTCCTTCCCTAACCCAGTTGAACTCTATACTGTCTTTCTTGAGTCCCTTGATCCCTTATATTGCCAATTATGCCCTGGCAAGCTTCAGACTTGGATCACCACCCTCATCCACTGTCTTTGCCCCTACATGCATGTGGCTGGATGAAGGTAGAGAAAAATCAGGCAACACTCTTGACACTGTCCATTACAAATGTATGTAACATAGCTTCAGTGGGGGCCCCCACAGCTTCTAGTCAATACTTTTACAACTCCCTGATAAATTCACTATCCTACTCACCACAGCAGTTCTTCTAAACCTTTTTGTCCCTTTTCAACCCTCTCTTTACCTCCTTAACCCTACCCTCTCAGCTGAGAACCTTGCCTCATATTTTAAGAAAAAAGTTGAGCTCCTCCAGGGTCATTCCTCCCTACCTCTGGAGAAGGCAGAGAAAGAGGGGTGAGTTCCCCATTCTCCAGAGTCAGGAAAGGGAACCGCGAGTAGCTTGAGGTCCATATGCCCTTCACCCTCTTTCCTTCCCTTCTTCGATCACAACTTTTTCCTCCTTTATCACTTTCTGCCACTCTGCTGCTCCTCTTCCATCCTTTACCCCACTCCTCTTGCCTGACCAATTCCTGAGAATCCCTATGCATAGGAGTGTGTGAGGAAGGGAAAAAAAGTCGGGTCCAGAAAATGTGTGCAGTGTGTAACACCTGAGGACTTCTCACCTCCAGAAAGGGAGAAGGGGGAAAAAATGTCCGCACAACTATATAACTGCTCTGTCCTGGTTCTCCTCCCACCTATCTGACCAACTTATCTCAGTCTCATTTGCTGGATCTTCATCCAGATTATGACTGCTGACTGTGGATTATCCCACAGTGCTTCATACCCCTTCACTTCTCCCTCTATACTTTTCTACTTGGTGATCTCATCAGCTCCCAGGATTCAATTATCATCTGATGATTCTCAAATCTATTTATCTGGCCCTAACCTCACTATCAACCTCTAGTCTTGCATTTCCAATTGCCTTTTAGTAAGTTTGAACTAGATGTCCTGTAGACATCTTAAACTCAGCACGTCCAAATCTGAACTCACTCGTTATCTTTCATCTTTCCAAACTTCGCTATTACTGTTGAGGACACCAGGACACCACCATCTTGCTGGTTCACCAGAGTCATCTTTGATTCCTCTCTCTCTCTCTCTCTCTGTGTCTCTCTCTCTTTCTTTCTCTCTCTCTCACGCACACACATACACACACACACACACACACGCACAAATACATACATACCCACACCCACTATCTGTTGCAAAGGCTTGATTTTTTTACTTTTGTAACATCTCTTGAATACATCCCCTTCTTTCCTCTGATACTGCCACCATTCTGGTACAGACCTTCATCTCTTCATGCCTGGACTATTACAACAGCCTACTTGTTGGTCTGCTTGCCAAAAATCTCTCTCCGCTCCATTCCATCCTCCATTC